CAGTTACTAGGTCTACTCCTAGGAAAGTTGCTTCATTGTGTTGTGTTAGATTCTGATGAGAAAAATTGTCTATCTTTCATATTTAAAGTCTACCATTTGTCAATGTTTGAATATTGTTGCCATGGCTGGTCTGGTGCTTCTATATATTTAAAGATTCTTTATAAACTCCAAAGAAGAATCTGCAATGTTATTGGTCCTGAACTGGAATGTCAAAATATGTCTTTACTTTGTACAAATGTTGAAAAATGGACCAAGGAACTATTAGACATATGAATAAAAAAAAATGAAAAGAGATTAGATTAATTTGGAGTATAATTGCTGGTATAAAGATGTCGCAACAAAGGAATAGACTTGATTATTTTTAACTGTAGCAATGTATTTCTGCAATTCCTATAACAATGGGGAAATTGCTAATATAGTAACAATTTAGAAAAGAGAAACATATCTCTTAACTTTTATCCTAAATAGTCAATGCCTATTGACTATTTTTTTGGATATTGTCTAGAAGAGTTAGATAGTAGGAGCATAAGCTTTTAAAGAGACTAATGTGCAGTTTATACATTTTGTTGCAAGGAAGGCAAGCAATGGTTGTGTACAGATTAAGTCTTTTTTTCTATGCATTCTCTTCTTTTGGCTCAGTATTATTTACTTATAAAATAAGTTGATCAAAAATGAATTGAAATCAAGAGAAAAGTTTAAAAATTACAGTGGTGTAGAATTAATTACTTTTTACAAAATAATAATGATAATTTTAAGGTTGATATGAATTATTCTGAGTATCAATTGATTTTTTTTTCATCTCCATATTAAGTTCAGTAAGCTAAACCTTGAAATAACCAGCTGTTACCAAAGGAAAGACATTTTTTAACTGAATAACTTAAAAGTCTGCTAATAATATTCCACTTTTATCTGATCTACTTTACACTGACTATAAGTGATTTCTTCCAAATAAAATTTTATTTACTATTTATTTATTTTTTTTCAATTGGAATAGATAGGTTCACCTATTGTCTGGTTAATACTCCTACCTGGATTTTTGAACAGAAGAATAGTTTTATCCTTTGTTTCCTGTTTAGAATAGGGTTTCTGGTTCCTTCTGAAGTCTTCTCATTCTATTTCCCTCCCAATAACCACTTACGTCTTAGTGGCATTATCACCTTGCTTGGGGTGATTTGATAAAAAAACGTAATTGATATTTGATTTTTGAACACAAAAGAATATAATATATAGCTTTTAAGTAGGATATGTCAAAATAATTTGTATTGATACTTGTACTTATCTATGTTAGTAGCATATAAAAAAAAAAAATCAAATTTCACAATGTTTTATCCTACTCCTTTATATCAATGTATATACAGTGTGTGATGGATAAATTATCGCTATTTTATATTTTTAATTTTGTGCATGCATGTAGTTTGTTTTTGATTTTGTCAGCTGCACAGTATAGTAGGGTCAGTTGGGCCACTGTCTGTGAGAAAAAGAGAACCATGACTCACACCCCCAGAAATTTGGAAACGGCATGCTGTGTCTTGGTATTCATGCCAAAAGCTCCAATATAAGCATTTCAGAGTATTTGGGTGTCAATCTGAGGACAGTGCAGAGGATTTGGAAGGAATTGGATGAGTCTAATGATGATTATGAAGGTATGGCAGCTTGGAAAACTCACTCTAATTGTTCTGATAAAAAAAAGAACTCCGAAATTTGTCAGTGAAGGCTTGAAACTCAATGCAGTGTCTTGAGGAGGTAGTTCTGCCCTGGGTCAAGAGAGTGGCTGCTGGAAGACCCTATATCTGGCAACAGGACTCTGCACCATTCCACACCAGCAGGAGAACCCAATTGTGGCTCTCAGACAATTTCTGTAATTGCATCACACTTTACATCTGGCTACCTAACTCCCCAGACTGCAACCCCCTTGGTTATTATGTGTGGGGCTCACCAAAGATGAACTGAAGGCTTATAGCAGCATTCACTAACTTAAACAAGGAGACTGTCTAAAAGAGTTGCAGGAGATTCCAAAGTTGTCTGAAGGCTGTGGTTTAAGCCAATATTGATTTATTGAATAAATTTACTGTTTAATATTTCAAGATATTTTTGTGTATATTTTTTAGTAAATATATCTGTTAAAATGTGAAGTGAATGTTACTTTCATTTTTGTGTAATTTAGACTACAATTTATCCATTGCACCCTGTAAATTGATTCATCAGATCAAGTAATCTACAATGTAAAATAAAAAAAAAGTAGGATATAAAATTACATATTATTTTCCGATTTTTAAAGCACTCCACAAAACTAAGCAATAATTAGAATCTCTAGAATTGGAATTTGAAGCTATGCTTTCATCCCAAACAAAGTCAATTCAAATTCTTTCAAGATTTTTCTGCTTATATGTTAATATATTTTCTGCATATTTTGCAAGCCTGAATTCATTCACATATATTACCACGCTTATATATAGTGGACTCTTCTGTCAATTTTAATGCATGGGGATTTAACAGTTTAGTTTTAGAACTGAAATTCCAGACTGTCTACACATGATTTGGTTATAGTGGTAAAGTCTTGTGTAGAACAAAACACACTTTTCAAACCAACTGATAATAGAGAAATTGTGCACAGTATGCCTTGAAGTCTTCAAACAGCCCTTAGATTTGAATTCAGAGCTTTCCTTCTCCTAGACATGTTACCAACTCTCTGCTATTTACCCCTATAGCTGGTGGGGTGTGGGAGAAGAAATGGATCTCTACCTTTCCCAAGGGAGTATTTGTGTGAAAATGAATGTAACAAATTTGGCTTGCCAATCCTTATATAGTTTATCAAGGTTATTACCATTTGTCTCCAGTTCAAGATTGTGAAAATATACCTTTTCAGACATAATCTTTGTTTAAATATAAATCAATGCTAGCACTGGTAATGCATAGATTTTGTGAAGTTGTTAATTATTGTTTAGGTATGTTACTGTTGTTACTGTTTTTTTAAATTTCAAAACTTCATGCCTAGTTAGAGGTGTTGCCTAATTGTGAAATTGAATTTTCTGCTTCTTGGACTTTTTAGAAACCAGTATCATTGAATATGCAAATAGGAAGAGATTTGAAAAGACTAGAACCATACTTGTAAAAAATGATTGGATTATTTAAATATTGATTGGTAATAATTCTACCTAGGAACAGTAAAGTATCTGTGTGCTGTGTCAAACTTTGTATTTTGAAATTAATTTTACCATGATGTCTAAGCAGTAGAATGCTGGTGTAGTGAATATGCCAATTGATGGAATACTTTGAAATGTGCAGTTAAAAAAGGAGACAAAATCAGAAATTTAAACACACAAACTTTACAGGATTTGATTTTTTTTTGTCAGCTCTTCCACTGTTTTTCTTTTAATTTATTTTCCTCCACCATATACAGGGTTATTACATTGTTTATGCCACAAATTAAACCTGATCTGATGAATATTTATGAGGGCACCTCTTTACGCATCTAGGTGTTTTTCTATTAATGCACCTGATGCATAAATGTTTTTGCCACTGATAGGTATGCACATTTTTTTTGCACAGGTGTATATTAAAATTATCATTGTTACTGTCATTTGTTGTCATGTTATTGGGGATTTGACAATTATACTGTTTTATTATAAAAAAAAAAAAAAACATGCAAATAAAATGTTTCTAAACTCACAACCTAATGGTTTATGGATAAATTATGTAATATCTTTGATAAATGAAATCTGACAATTTCAATATTGTTTATTGCATTTTATTTTTATTTTCTATCTGGGTGTAATTTTGTTTGCCTAGATATGTTTAACAACTAGAAGTGGCTGGACTTGGTTAACCTGGAAGTCATATAAATATTCTTGATGTTTGCAATGATTTCATGGTGGTTTGTATTTGAAAATGTGAAGAAGACCTTAAATAACAAAGTGCATATTAAGTATCAGTTAGGGACATATAATTTGTAAGTTTACTCTGATTATGTTAAAAAAGAAACTATTAAATTTTAAAAAAAATTAACTTTTCAAGGGGTTTATATTTTCACAAATTTATTGCATAGTTTATGCTTTTAATAGGTCAAAAAAGAGAAAGTAAAGTAATTTTTTATTCTATTAATCTGAGAGAAATCCAAAGGATTTTGTAAATTAATTTTGGATAATGTTCTGATAACATTTAATCAGGTTATATCAGATCTGATGATTGTTCAAAGTTTAGCTATTTTGTATAATCTGCAAAACTTATTTTTAATTTTTTTAATATGCAAGTTGTATATGCATATATAAGTATCAATAACTTTATTTTTAACTCTTTTGTTTATTTTGATACATAAAATTATTGCATGAAAAATACATATTTTGATACATAAAATTATTGCATGAAAAATACATATTTTGATACATAAAATTGTTGCATGAAAAAATTCTAATAAAATGCAACCAAATATGCAGTGTAAAAAAACTAAGAATAAAGAACATTTTGTTAGAGACTGAGTAATCTTTAATTTGTTGATTAAAAATCATAAATGTAAAGATATTTGTTGTTGGCTTTACAATAGTCACTACTGACAATTAATTTTTCTCAATGTAATTAATTCATTCTTTTGTCTCTGCTACATAACAATATAAAAACAATAACCTGACAACTTAATTAAAAGGCTGAAATAATCTTAAAAATAAAGTCTATATTTAAAACTTAGTTTCATGTGTGTCTACTTTTTACTTATTTTTAGAATTTTATAAGAAAAGGGTCAAGATACATAAATGTTGGCCTGGTTGACATTAATGTTCTGTCAAGTATTATTAACTTCTAAGAGTAATGTTTTTTTAGTCAATGTGAAAAAAGAAAAAAATTTTTTTTTTTTTTTTTTTTTTAAAGAAAATTTGTCTCCATTAAATGAAAAATATTTTTTGCTATAACATCAAAGAAAAATATGTGAATAGGAAAAAGTAAATATCATGATATAATTTTTTGGTCCGGTTTTAAAAGATTTGTTTGCCTTTTTTCTTGATTTCTAGGATGATGATGCCGATCCAATCCTCAGCAGTTTTTCTCAGCTGAAAGATGTCTTAAATACTGTGGCAGGTAAATATTCCTGGTAGAGAAAAAGTTACATGAACTTGCAAGAGGGGAGAATATATGCTATTGCTTTGAGAGAGATTTTCTGTGACTTATTTCTTTCACCTTGTGTTAAAAATTCATGATCACATTTTGTTAATATTGTTACATACAATTGTTTTGTAAAAAAAAAAAAAAATAATAATAGCTATATACGCTGACCATAAGCCACTCCTTTTACTGTTTGCTGAAATAAGCCCATTTCACGTGTTGCTACTGGCTGAATGCAACATTCCTAGTTGCCTATAACTACAAATTAGAGCATCATGCTGGGTCTTCCAACAGAAATACTGATATTGCCTTAGTTGTTTTCTGGCATATGCCTTAGTGGAGGATTGTTCAGTTTCAGTAAATAGTTCACATGGTTAATTTGGTTAATTCCCGTGACTATAGCTGAATTACATTTGGAAACTAGGACAGAACTTGTTATGAATAGAGCATATATGAATGACTGGGGAAATCATATTGCAATGGCTGTATTAAAGCCACCCCTTAACAAGTGAAAAAAATTGAATTGTGAATATGGTATAATGCTGTAAGTTGCAAGATCTTCATCAAATCCATGTAAGAATAATATATATGAATAATATACATGAGGGTACTAAACTTGATGTTATGTATATTGACCAAACCTGGATATTGATGTTGAAATGATATTCAAAGCTTGTGAAGTATGTGTTCTTGGGAATTGTTTTTATACAGATGATTTTGTGGTGATTGATGACTCTTGATGACTTATATAACAAGCTAAAAATCTGTAAAGGAATCTGAAAAGCAAGAGTCTAAGAAGAGTTAACTTAGAAAAGACAAGTTATAATTAGTGATGCTAATATGAACACCTTAAATAAATTAGGAAAATGGCTATGTGGTGTCTGATGTTGGTAGTTGTAATCACTGGCTTCATGGGAAGTGCAGTGGCATTCATGGTAAACTTGTTTAGGATGATAGCTTCAGGTGTGGCAGATGTTGTGGCCTTGCTAGACCTATTGATGGATGCCCTTGTAAGTTAATCTTGGTAGATAATCATAAAGTTGAGGTAGTTGACTCTTTCTATTACCTGAGTGGCATAATTGGTGCTGGTAGCAGTTGTGTGTCTGCAACAATTACTAGAACTGTTTGGGAAAAGTTTAGAGATCTGTTGTCCATATTGATGAACTGAAATCACCTGTTGCACTTGAGGCAATGTTTACAACACCTGTGTTTATAGTGCCTTGACTTATGCTAGTGAATCTTGGGATATGTGTTCCAAGAACAAGTTCTGTCTGGTATAAAATGATTATTCTATCCTCTGGTGGATACGTGGTGCCAAGCCTGTTGACAGCATGTAATCATTGTGCAAACTTCTGGGCATACCTCCTCTGGATTTGTTGCTGACTGCCCAAAGGATATAATTGTTTGGACAATTAAACAATTCATGATTGAAGTAGTGTATTTAGCTAAGCACTAAGGGAAGTTATGGCAAATGATGTCTGAAGAAAACTAGGAACAACAGTAACCTCATGAAATTGAAGTTGGAAGAAGACATAACTATTGATAAAGTGGTCTGAACAAGCACAGTGAAGTGAGCTTCTAAAATATCCAACCCTTTTATCAAGAGGATAAACCAGATAATGAGCATTCTATGTTGGAACAGTTTGAATAAAACTCTAATTCATGGCTGGGGATTTTCAATTCAGCTATGAGAAATGTAGGTTTTGCTGGTCCATTCAGGGGATATCTATTTTTGATAATTGTTGATACATACTCAAACTGAACTGAAGTGTGTGTATGTGTGTGTGTGTGCACACACTATGAAGTCATCTGCTGCTCCAGCTACAATTGAGAAGTTGAGAGGAATGTACGATCTGCTTGTTTTAATGGCCTGTTTCATCAGTGAAGACTTCAGGTTCTTTAACTTCACTGTAATTTAGCATATTTATTTACAACCCCCCCAATCATCCCATTCAAATGGCAATAAATAAACAAGATGAGTAGAAAAGTGTTGTGTCATTCAAAATTAAAATCTGTAGAACTACTCAACATTCGACAATCAGAGCTTCTGCTGGATTGTTCAAATATCAGTTATGAACAGCATTAAACCTATTGCAAAAACAAATAGACATTATTGAGTTCATAGAGGTCAATATAATAGGGAACAAAGGAGAAAAATGTGTGAATGAATTGATGATTGTTTTTGTACAGAATTTTGGAGCTAGTGAATGTTAGATAGAAAGCAAAATAGTACAACAGTTAGAGGCTGTAAGTTTTATAATAAGAGTATGTGGAAGTGTGATAAAATGTCATGTAGATCAAATTCTAAGGCTTCCTTCAAAGTCAACTGAGGTACTTGATATTTCTTTTGTTACAGAACTGGATATTGATGTTTCAGAATTGCCAGAAGTGTTGGCTGGTACTGATTTTTCCATTGTGTTATATTGCTGTTTCTCCTAGCACATGGAAGTTTCTAGTTGCAAGGTGTGTGTCAACTGCTCTCCTAGTTTGATGCTTGTATGTTGGAACTACTAAATATTGGTTGTGTTACAGATTGATTTACCTGCTCTTGAACAGATAGAATTATGTTTCATTAGTTTTGTTAGGACCCTGGTAGGTGGAGGTGCTAAAATCCAAGAATATAAATACTCTGTTTCTAGAAGGAGGCAGCTATTTCTTTGCTTCTGTTTTATACTTAAAAGAAATTCTTAATTTTCTTGTATTTTTCTTCTACAGATTTAGAAGATTTGGAGCCAAACACATTTTTGAGTCCCTTTCTTGGAGTGATTCGCTCTGAAGATACTACTGGCCCAATCACAGGGTTGGCTCTAACATCTGTCAACAAATTCATATCCTATGGATTGATCGGTAAGACAGTTTTCTTTCTATACTAGAGGGCCCACTAGAGTTTATTTTTTAGTATGATCAGTATGCTTTCTGTAAGTCGAGTTTGATGCTTTACATGTTGATCAAATATTGTTACTTTCATGTCTGAGACAAAAATAAAGAGTAAGTTATTATATGAAAGCAAGAGAGAGTAATAATTTTACTGAAGAATATTTGAAATGATAGAAATTATTACAAAAACAAGTATTATATTAGGTGTATGTACAAAATTCCCACCATTTACTTTTTTGGAAAACTAGAAACTGAATACACAATAGAAATGTTATATTAAACTTCTGCCCAGCATTCAAATGCCTGGGAACTTTTATTTACACTTAAATATTAAAAATTGTGTAGTCACCATTATCTATTATTGAAAATCCAACATTTCTAATCTATAATATTTCTGCTTATCTCTTTTATTGGAGATAATTCTAAAATTTACAGTACTATAGGATATAGATATAGACCTAATTCACAAATTTTATAAGTGATGATGGAAATTATATTTGATTATATTTACCTTAATGAAACATGAATTACTGAATTTTTAAGTATTTTTTAAGATTATTAATTTTAATTTATATTACCATTGTTAGAAAGGTGAAAAAACTCTAAAAATTCATTTTTTTCTCTATCATCTTTATCATAACATTACCCATATAAATACTTGTAGGACTGATTATAATTTTCTGTTACTTTAATTTTCTTCCTTATCAACATTACACTTTTCTTGTATCATTAAAATTGCCATATCTCTTAACCTACAGTGTGATTTAAAACAAATTTATACTTTGTTAATTTTGCTTTCTAGTAAGATACAATTTATAGATATCTGGAAATCTTATTTGCTTGCTTTTCTTGTGCATATATTTGTTTTTATTTTCTAGATCCCCTGAGTAAAACTGCAGCTCCAGCTATTGAGAACATTGCTGATGCCGTGACACATGCCCGCTTTGTAGGCACTGACCCAAGCTCAGATGAAGTTGTTCTCATGAAAATATTGCATGTATGTTCACATCTGGCTTAATACTTAAGATAATTACACTTTCTATTAAATGATCCTCATAGGTATCTATTTAAGAACATTGCTAATGACAGGGTAAAACTTTATTTTATATCTTACTTTTCTCTTGTATGTGTCTGTTTCATATATATTTTTGATTTTTAAAATTGTATAAGATTCCTAAATCATAGATATTTAAAATCATGTTGATTGATAGCAATATTATTAGCTCATATTAATGTTTTGTAAAAGAAGGAACAAATTTACATTTTTTTATCACTTCATTATGATTGACATATTTATTGACTATTTTCAGGTTTTGCGGACATTACTGCTCTCCCCTGCTGGAGTCTTATTGACAAATGAATCAGTCTGTGAAATTATGCAGTCTTGTTTCCGCATTTGTTTTGAGATGAGACTAAGTGGTAAGTTTATGTCTGCTAATTTAGTGCTCAATCAACTACTAACCTGTTTGTTGAAAGGCATATTACAGTAGCAATATGCAAGGTCTACTGAAAATTTCTCTGTCTTAACCCATTACTTCTCAAAATGTTACAAATGAGCAAACAGCAGAAATTTTAAATCCTTTTTTGGGCAATTTGAGAACTTTTCAGCAGCCTCTTGTATAAATTTTATTTTTCTCAGGCTATCTCAGGATAGGATTTACATATTTCTGTATATGTTTGTTGCACTTCCAAATGTTACTTTGATGAGGAATAGTAAATTTAATGAAATGCCCACCTAACTTAATTCAACAAAATTAACTGTTAACTCACTTTATTACTTTTTGGATTGAATACAAAAAAATAACAGGTTATATAGCGAAATTGTTATTATTTTTATTTTATTTATTTATTTATTTTTTTTAATCATTTCACCCCAAGGAAGGCAGGAATGCCACTAGTACACAGGAGGTTACAGAAAGTGAAAGTGAGAGAAAAGACTGGGTATAGAGGGGAACCAAGGAAAGGATAAAAGCTGGACAGAGTTCAAGATGATAGAAGAAGGCAATTGATGTTGCATTTAAATTTTTGAAGATTGTAGTTATCATGGAAGCAAGAAAAGTGTGAGAAAAGTAACTGTTGGAGTAGAAGTGGTGGTTACATTTAACTACTTGAACAGTAAAAGGGTAGGACCTATATGCCAATCTAATAGCACGCTTACACTTATGTAGTCTGGGGGCCAGGGGAAAAAAGCTGGTCAGAGCTGTCACCATGAAAATATTTGTAGAAAAGACAGAGGTAAGCCATGTCATGTCCGTAACAAAGTGATTGAGGTTGAAATGCCAAGTCAGGATGGATTATATTGCAGATCCTTCTTTGGATTTTGTCATGAACCTTGAAATTGGTAGCAGGGAGTACCAGATCAGATATGGCAATAGTATTCAATGGATGAATGGTAGATTTGTAAATATGCAAGACACTCTGACGAGAAAAGCCTCTGGCATGACAGTGATCCAACTTTACTTGCTCTAGATGTAGCTATTGATTTGATGTAGTCATTTCACCTCAAGTCAACTGAAAACATGAGTTTGTTGCTCTCCATGATTTTAGCAACAGCCATGCTGATAGCAGACAGGAAAGTTTTTCTATAGTGGCTAAATGAGAGCAGTTTAGTTTTGGAGGTAGTATAATTTACAAACCATTTCCTGTCTCAGTTAACCACAGATTGGAGGCTTTTTTCAAGAGCAGCTGCCAGGTTAACTTCTGACAGATTTGCTATTGAGACAGGAGTAAATGGTAGTGTCAGCAGCATAAATGCCTACTTGGGATGAGAATTTCAATTAATATTATAAAGGAAAGATTACATTATTTATCAATTTTCCATTTTTAATGAAGGTAAATATTTTTACATATCTTAATGTTTTTTTTGAGTCTTAAGATAATAAAAATATTGATAAATTAACTAAAATCTATTTTTATTAGAATTTAATTTTTTATTTATACTTCTTGCATGTCATTTTAATTTTTTATTCTAAAGAAGGAATACTATTAAAAATTTTATAATTTTTAATTAAAGGCATTTACATTAAATTTCATATCAGTATTGTCTGGATGATTTTGTTTTTTACAGTATATTTCTAGCCTATGACGTGTTACAGCTTCAAAATGATCACTTGTAATTGTTTATTGTATTAGATCATCCAATAAGTAATGTTCAAATTTAACATTACATAAATATAATAAAACTTCATGTTTTAATAAGAATATATTGATTAACAGAGGTTCATTGAATTAATAACTTCCTTCCTGTGATGAACAAGCTTCATAATACTATTTTTGTAAAAGTGTTTTGATTTGGAGCAAAAGAATGCATATGACATAGTTTCCACTTAAGTCCATTAAGAGTGTTCTGTAAACTCAAGATGTGGATAATAAAGAAGGTGTGGAATTTTTTCTCATCTGGGATCTTCAACTTTTTCAGATATGATCTTTGTTGCATTAGGCCATGCATTACTATGATAGAACACTACATCTTGTGATTGATCAAGCTAAGTCTCTTTCCCTTCAAAGCAATGTTTAAATGCTGTGACTGCTGACAATAAATGTCTGCTGTGATTGCACCATTAATTGGTAGCAACTCAAGCTCAGCTGTACCAATATAATTCCATTAAACATTTACCAATTTTTGCTTGGGTTGTGCTTTAACCTATTTACTTTTGCTAAGTCACTGTCTGCATCATTTTATATTCTTGTAAAATATCCATTTCTCATCCCTATTCATTAATTTGTTAAAAAATATCAAGATGAAAGAGCAGAGAAATGCAGTTGTCAACTTTTGATTTATGTTTGGCTTCTGTCAAATCTTGGTGGACCCATTATCAAAGTTTAGGCACTTCTCCAAGTTGTTGCAGATGACAGTGAACTATTGAATGGCTTGATTTCAGTTATTGTACTAATTCATCAACTGTAACAGCACTATTTCTATCAATTACATTATTGTTAAATGCAACAGAACTGTTTGTGGTACATCTGTTAAGCTAATGTTACCTTTTCTAAACTATTTTAACAGTAAAATTGTTTTTTATAGTTATTTTAATATTAGTAGCTGTTATATTATAAATGAGTTTACTATAATTACTATTAATTGACTCGTATCAACTGAAAAGTGTTGGCATTAAATAACCATGTGTATGGTGTCTGTAATTTCCCAGAAAATGTAAATAAGGATAGAGAATCTATGGTGAGAGGTGCTGAGGGTTAATAAAAGTAACAAGGTTCTGGAATGGATAATATCTAAATTCAACTTGTTATTAACTTGGAGATGTGGGGAAAATTGTGAAAATGGCTTACCTCGGAAACGCGTGCGCATCTGTGCAGTGTGCAAACTCCGGTCCTCCCAACGGTAAAAGGAACCAAAATGGCGGCACCCATATTTTATGCCGGGCGGTCTTGGTTAGTTAACGTGGAATCTCATTGTCTCGTCATTCGCATGCAAATCGTGGTCGGTCCTCGGCTGTATAAAGCAGGCTCATTTTGCTGTTTGGGATCAGAGAGCTTTCGGCTCGTGAGAAGGTTGGATGTGCGACACCGGTTTCTTTGTTCCTACCTGCTATCATCAGTTGAGTTGTTGCGTTACCTCCCACAGGAGAACAAATGCAAAAAATATTATGAGATGTAACACCTCATGAATGAAAATTATGTCCTGACTTCAACAACTTCAATAAAATAGAATTAAGTATTTACGAGATACAAGAATCAATGATAACATTCATTCAAATTTAAATAATAAACATGCAATGACTTAAGCAAGAGTAATATGCAAGAAAATAACAAGAGACATAGTGAAAAATACAATCAGTTATTTGCCAGAAGTGCTTTTTGCAGTAATGTACATGATTTATTCTTTATTAGATTTAAAAAAATGAAATGTTTATGTGCAGTGAATCTACAAAATAAGTTAGAAAGAATTTGAAATTATTTACCTCTAGAGGTTTGTATGGATAATATTTCGGCAGGAATGCTAGGATTTTCTTTTTTTAATATTAGTGTCAGGTGTTAAATAAGGGAGTTAATTTATATATTCTATACTTTGGACCATCTACTTGAATGCATTAAACTTTAACCATCTTTGATATTTTCAGTGAAAGAATTCATCCCATAAACACTATGAAAATTTCAAATTGCTTCTGCAGTATTATTGCCTTTTGTAAACTCATAGAACATTACATGTTCTCTGTAGATACATCCATTTTTAGGAGGATGACATTAGTAACAGTAAATTAATTTGTAGTGTAACAACACAACTTGATGAAAATATGCTAGCATATATTATCATTTAGGCATTTAAGAATAGAGAAAATATAATTCAGCCTATTGTTATAAGATTTCAAAGATTAAAAATGGGCTGACCTAATAGAATAATTTGTTATTGTTCAGATTCATTATGAAGGATTGCTGAAAGTTTCTTGACCTGGAGCATTTCCCAAAATCAAACATTTAATCTTTTCTTGGTCAGGCCAATACCATTTTCAGCAGCTGTTCATACTGATGCACACATACACACATATGGAAGGGCTTCTTGATTGGGCTGAGAACTTTTCAGCACACCCCTGTATTTTCTATATCTTGTCACTTTTGATATTAATATAAATTTACAATTTATATGATAATTTTAACTATGAAATTTATATCATTGGCTGAAAATGTCATTAATTTGTGTGAGATTAATTTTGGTTTTGTTCATATTTTTTGGTAATTGCATTTGAGAACATTAAGTTTTAAAATTATTTTGAATAAACATGTATCTTAAAATGTCTGATGCTTTTCAAATTTAGATTGAAATTATGATAATTACAATTTTATAATAACAGATTTTTCAGTTTGAAATAAAAAATATTACAATAGGTAAACAGAAATCAGAAACATAATTTTTAGTTGTCTTAGTGCTTTTATTGTTGTAAAACTATATTTGTCAATCAATTCTGTTCTGGTTCAGCAAAAAAGAAAAAAAGTGGGGGCATATAAAATTGGTAGTTTTGGCACTAATTTAAATAATTTTCTGATTTGCTAATATAAATCTAAAAATTTAGACAACAGGAATAATTGACTCATTCTGCTTCTGTCCTGTTTCTGTTTAAGAATTGCTGCGTAAGTCTGCTGAACACACTTTGATGGATATGGTGCAGCTTTTGTTTACACGCTTACCTCAGTTCAAAGAGGACCCCAAGTGGAATGCCAACATGAAAAAGGTAAAACTACTCTGTTCACCATCAGCAATTTCTCTCTTGCTCTCCTTAGAACAGACATGACTATTAATTTTTTTTTAATCTGCAATCCATATCAGAATTTGGTGTTAAAAGTGAGGTGTAGACATTAATTTTTATTTATTTTTTTTTGTAGGTGGTATAAAATGATTTGCAAACAACTTAAAAAAGAAATAACACATCAACTAATAAGAATGAATTGGTTACACATATATAGCTTATAACAGATCAATATTAGAATTAGTATCCTTTGTCTTTGTTAAATTGCTTAAATCAAGCTATTGTATTTGTAAGCTGAATAATTAATTCAAAATAATGAAATTAGAATTAAATGATAACCATTTTACTTTCCTTAGACCAAGCCTGCACAAATTATGGCCCATAAGACTACTCAGTGTGGCCTGTATGGGTTTTTCAGAATAGTAAAATTTTTGTGTTCATCATTATAAATTTGGCAAGTAACAGTGTTAAAAAAATCAGTTTTGTAGAAGCATGACTTTATTTAAATAGAATTTCACTCTCTTTGTATCTAGTTAATCATTTTAACTCTCTATAGAAAAAGAAACAATTTTCTTTTTCTTTCTTTCTCATATATATATATAGCCATCCACAGACAGACTCTTTTGCTGTAGACGGCTTGAAGCAATCAGACGTCTAGCCACACTGAAGAGCTGTGATATAGATGTGTGTGTGTGTGTGTGTATATATATATATATATATATATATATATATATATTTCATCCATGGGAAAAACCATTTCCCTGGATTTGTCAATACAAATACATTTGTTAAAATGAATGAATTCCCATGTTTTTTTTATTTTTTATTTTTAAGAGAAATTTGAAATGTAAATGAAGGAAAATGGAAAGAAGAGGAAGTAAGGAATAAAAAAAACATATAAGGGATAAGGGAGTTACAGAGATAAAGAGGTAAAGGGACTAAGGTGATTATGGTGGAATTGGTTCAGATAAGAATGATGGTTGA